CTGTTATGAAGAAAAAAAAAAGAAAGAAACCTAAGCAGATAAGAGGAAGAGTAGATGAATGACGCTAGAGAGAAATGAATATGGTAGTAATTAATGTTAGCGACGAGGAGAATGACAATTCCACCATCATTGTCCTAGAGCTTTATTTTCACTGTGAAGGTCGTACAAAGAAAGAAAAACATTAATCAATCCATTTATTTTGAAGGTAATTAACAATTCTTTAATCTATGCATTGAAAATTATACAATACAATACCGTAATTTATGCATTGGATTTTTGTTTGCGTCTATTGAAATCGTCCATTCTATAGAGTTCATATGTACTTTAAATCTTGAGTACAAGTCTCTTCTTGGTATAAGAGAAAGAGAAAATAAAATAGTTTATTATACGATTACTATTTGTAACTTTAGGATTTAATGAAATTAGTTTTGGTTCATTCTTTTCTTATAGTATTTGGTTTTAACTAATTTTTTAAAGAAAAATTTAAATATTCTGCTTTGAGAATTAGAGAAATGCATGATCAACTGTAAGATAATAACCTTTTTTCTACTTACAGAATTACAAAAAAAAAAGTGTTTGTTCCTTTTCGTATTATAAGTCTTTTATAAACTTATCCACTTGTGTAAATTGTACGCGCCTCACGTGCGCCCCCTTTCCTCTCGTAAACCCCCAGTTTTCTTCAGCTTTTTCCACACGCCCCAACCGATGGAGCCGCCGGAGGACGCCACTATGGCGCGTACGGTAGCTCAAACAAACTTTCAAATAGACTCATACATACTTGCGAACGATTATTGGAAGATTCTCGAGAATTAGGCCCCAAATTGAAAATATTTGGTCGAGATTCTCGGAGAAATTTGCTCTGAAAGGTTCAGTCAAAATAGGAGTGCTTGACAACATAAATGTATTCATGGATTTCACCACTGATGAGGATTTCAATACCATTTGGAAAAAGAGAGTCATAGAGATTGAGGGACTGCAAATGTGGTTGCAAAAATGGTCTCTCGATTTTAAGCCGGAAGAAGATCTTCCTATAGCGCCAATATTGGTGCTGCTTCCTCAATTGCCTTTTCACATGCATACTTGGCACTACGTCAAGCAAATAGCAAGTGCAATTGGGACTCCTTTAGAGATGGACACTGCTACCAGAGGAAGAACCCGTCCAAGCATGGCAAAGGTAAGGGTGGAAGTCGACTTACTGAAACCTGTACTTAGCAGCGTTTGGGTGAGAGATGAAGATGTGAACTCACCATTGAAAGGTTTTACCCAAAAGATAGAGTATGGTGGTGTACCCAAATACTGCAGACATTGCAAGAAGATGGGGCATTCCTTGATTGAGTCTCGAGTTGTAGAGAAACAGAAACTTGCAGAGAAGAAAGAACTGGAGAGGGTCCAAATGAACACAGCTGATAATGTTACTACGACAAAGAAGAGTGACAATGAAGCTGAGGATACAAATGGTGTAGACAAGATTGCACACAAACAATAGAAACATAACAAAAATACCAGTAGCACAAGCGCAAGACAAGAGAACAAGGAAGTGAATAAAGGAGGTGAGGAAGCAGCAGAAAAGGAGGCTAAAACAGACATGAGGGAGAGGTTGAGAACAAAGAAAAAGAAGAGCAAAGTTAAGAAGATGCCAAGGAAGAAAAGCAAGGTTTCTTTTAAGCTTAGCCTATAAATAGGAAGGGCAAGAAGAAGATAGTTACAGTAGAGGAGGGCATCAATATCTCTGTTGAGGAAGCAGGAAATCTGTGTAACATCAGAGAGAATGGGACTCAGACTATAGCAGAGCAGGAAAAGAAAGAGACTGTAGAAGGGCAAGAGAACAAAGAAAATTCTGGTGATCAAAATAGTTTAAAGTTAATTGCAAAGGCAATGGGTATACCAAGTTCGGATAGCAAGGGCCCCTCTCAAACAATGGAGGACCAAGATAGCAGCACGCCAGAGATGAATGAAGTTATTGCGGAATCATCGAGCTTGGCAGCTCAAATCAAAAATCAGAAAGGGATCAACCTAATCTTGGACATAAGTATGTATCATGCAAAAGAATTGGTGATAGGGGATGATTGGCATAATGAAGAAGAACTGAACAGTATTACGGAGACAAACACACCAATGAATCAATCAGAAGAAGAACCAGAGGATCTAGGGAAGAAAGATGAAGAAAACAAGATGACAAGTGAGAGCATGTCCCTAACTGGGAGGGGAAGGAGTAGACAGAAGAAGAAAGGAAGAAAGAACAAAATCAAAATAGCCCCGAAAGCAAGAAGGGGAACTCAAATCAATCCGAATTATTGATTTAATAATCAGTGGAATTTTTTGAAATATCAGAGGAGTTAGGTCTAAGAAGGCTATTCACAGATTCAAACACCTTGTTACTATAAATTGGGTGGACTTTGTAGCTATTATGGAGCCTTTTGTTAGTAAGGATAAAGTAGAAGGATATATGAGATTCCTTGGATTTCATAACTGTATTGCCAATGACAATGGTAAAATATGGTGCTTTTGGACAATAAGTTGTCAAACTACTATAGTAGCCAATGAAGAACAATAAATCACTATCAATTTCAAGGATAACACAAATGAAGTTGGAGTTTTTGTCACTGCTGTTTATGCAAAGAGTTCTTCTAATGAAAGGAGGGATCTTTGGCACAGTTTGGAGATCACCTCGAACATGGTAATAGGTCCATTGTGTGTGGGAGGAGATTTTAGTGCCATTTTGGATGCGGAGGAGAAATTAGGAGGCAGGCCTTACAGGGCTTCAAGAAGCTTTGATTTTGCCTCATGTATACAACATTGTGACTTAGTCGATGCTGGATATATAAGAGCAACTCACACCTGGTGCAACAATAGTAACGCCAAGGAAAAGAATATGGAAAAGGTTGGACAGGATCTTGATCAATGATCGATGGATTCAAAGATTCCAAAGTAATAGTGTGAGACACTTAGTGAGAACATGCTCCGATCATAGACCTCTTTTGATGAAATGTCACGCAGGTCAACAAGTCATCAAATATTTCAGATTTCTAGATTTCTGTGTGGAGCAGCCAAGTTTCAAGGATTTGGTAAGAGCCACATGGATGCATGAAATTAGGGGCAATCCTATGTGGAGGCTTCAACAAAAACTAAAACTACTCAGCAAAGCTTTGAGTCACTGGTCTAAAGAAGTGGTTGGGGATGTCTTCCGGAATATCAGTGAATGGGAAACATAGGTGCAAAGATTAGAAGAGATTAGTTTAGCTACTAATGATGCCAGAGTAGGGAAAATCTTAACAAAGCACATGCAGAATACATCAGGTGGAATCCATTCTAAGACAGATTTGTAACCTAACTCTTTATTTCAATATATACCCTTTAACTTTAAGGGTGATGGTTAGTTAAAAAAAACTAATGTTTTCTTATTTTGAATCTTGTGTAAATGTTTCGAATCGTGGAAACAGCCTCTTGCAGAAATGCAGGGTAAGGCTGCGTACAATAGACCCTTGTGGTTCGGCCCTTCATCGGACCCTGCGCATAGCGGGAGCTTAGTGCACCAAGCTGCCCTTTTTTTTTTGAATCTTGTGTAAATGTTTCGAATCGTGGAAACAGCCTCTTGCAGAAATGCAGGGTAAGGCTGCGTACAATAGACCCTTGTGGTTCGGCCCTTCATCGGACCCTGCGCATAGCGGGAGCTTAGTGCACCAAGCTGCCCTTTTTTTTTTGAATCTTGTGTAAATACTTTGTGATTTTTATTCCTTAACTTGTGTGTCATTTTCTTTAATATAATGTTGCAATTATAAAAGTGTGTTTAGAATAATACATTAATTAATTTTTGAACTTTAAATGTGCTTATAAATAAGGGTTCAGTTACAATATACATATTTCTTAAATTCTCTTGAAAGAAAATTTTGAGATAATATGAAAACATAAAGCATTATTATATAACGAAAGGTTCGCTTTTACATGCAAAATAAAGAAAAAAATAATAAAAAAAGAGAGAAACATATTGTGTATGCGTCTGTGATTTTGACACTCCTGCAAATTTTTGTCCCTCTAGAAAAATAATAATGATTTGGTTCAAAGTTTCAATTTTAGTTAATATTTATACTTACATGCATTTAGAAGAGAGAATACAAGAGTTTGGAGTCTCAATCATAATATTCTCTTCTCAATACAATATATTTTTTATGCTTATATATATTAGTACCTTGAATAGTAGTATGTAGTATATCTTTGTAAATTGGCAGAGTAGTTTTACTTTTGTAGTTATAAAGCTGAGAAATGTGTTTATAAAAATGGATTAGAGTTTATTCTTTTATTAAGTTGGCTAAATGGAGTCAGGAATCATCATTTTCTTTTACTATGCGTTTTCCTTTAACTATTACTCTCTCCGTTCCAATTTATGTGAACCTGTTTGACTGGGCACAGAGTTTAAGAAAAAATGAAGACTTTTGGAATTTGTGGTTCTAAACAAGTCAAAAAGGGGCCCAGAATATTTGTGTGGCTATAAAAGCTTCTTATTGAGGGTATAATTGTAAGTTTAAGCTAAATTATTACCAAATTTAGAAAGGGGTCATTCTTTTTAGAACGGACCAAAAAGGAAATAGGTTCACATAAACTGGAACAGAGGGAGTATTTTGTATGTATCAAATAATATTTTTAATAAATTAATTTATGTTTTTCGTTAAAAGAAGTTTGCACTTATCGAATTTTGGTACACGCGCAATGCGCGTGCAGAGAGAGAGACTAGTTATACATACACAAAAACAGAGAGGAGAAACCATTACATAATTTGTGTTGACTCAGTATATATCTCAGATTTTTCAGTCTTCAACATCAACTAAAAAGATTAGTCATTTAGTCTCTAATAACTTAAGAAAAGTGTGTTTAATTTTGGACAAAAAACAACTACTACTTTTTATGCATGGCTATATCTGCAAAAATGTTTTCTCCTATATATGCTTCTTTCTTCAATTTCTTTGTACTCTTACTTCTTTCTCCTGATAATGTTTATACATCAGATCATGGAAAGAGGAAAACAAATTGACAGAGAAAGAGAGAAAGGGGAATTAGCAAACTTTGAGGTATGTCATAATTAGTTTGTGCTAGTAATATTGGTTTGACTTATGTTACTCTTCTAACTCCTTATATAGAATGAATAACTCAACAAAGAAAAAGAATGATCAGGATCAGATGATCATAAGAAATATTAAGAGAAAGGGAAAATAACAAAAAATTGAAGCAAATCGCCAACAATGATCAGGAATAGATGATCTTAAGAAATATCGATTCTTTCTTCTTTTTTTCACTGCAAAATAATACTACAAATATAGGGATAAAATTTGATAATGGATCCATTGTTTTGTTATGTACGTGAAGGGATATCAAGTGAGTTACGATCAAGCGGACTCAATATTGGTGGAGCCATGGGGAGGCAATGCTGGTGAATCAGAATGGAATTACAAGTTGAAAAGTCCCATTAAAGAAATATTGATTGTTCATGGAGATATTATAGATTCCATCATGTTCAGAACCGTTACTGAACAAGGTACTACCATAGACTCAACAAAGTTTGGTGGGGATGGAGGTCGAATAGACAAGGTAAGTCCAAAAGATTGTGGTCGGCATATTTATTTCTCATGATTGTCACCTTCTTCTCAAGTTAAATTTGTGTCATGTCATGTCATAGCAATGAGCTCAAATTATGTAAAATATTATTTATTAAGACAATTAAACTAGTAATGGCAGATTATTCATTTATCTTACAGCCTTCAAGTTACCTTATCAGGCTCTTGATATGAAAAATCACGCTATAGGTCAACTTAATATGATAGTGTAGCGACTTTTTGCATTTCCAATGTACACAGCGTAAAATCTGTAGTTATATAAGCATCTCTCAAGTCAAATATGTGAATGCACTTGTTGCTTCATATTTGAGTTTGCCTCTTCCTTTGCATTGAGAGGATTCAACTAAGTGTCCAAATTTGCGTTAGGTCACAGGTTCTGAATCCTAATATGACATTCTTGCACTTTTCTGAATTCTTGTCAAAATTCTCGACTTTGCTACTTATTTAACCAATATGTGATTTGCTATAATCTCAGGTTGTTATCGAGGCAACTTCATTGGAATATTTAAAAGGCATCAAGGGGACATTTGGATATTATTATGGCCATTCGGTTATAAAATCTCTATGTTTTATAACTAATGCAAAGAATTATGGACCATTTGGGTGTGAGGCTGGTGGAATCCCATTTTCACTTGTGATGAAAGAAGGTGTAGCTATTGTGGGATTTCACGGGCGTTCGAGGTTGTACCTTAATGCTATTGGTGTTTATTTGCAGAAACTTGCTCCTCCCACTTCAGCAAAGGAACCTATGGTTGAAGACATTGAAATCCGTGACGTATGTTGTGATTATGTTGTGATTATTCCCTCCTTCGTTTAATCACCTTCACTTCAATTTCTTCACCTCATACTTCAACAAATGAACCTATGGTTGAAGATATTGAAATCCATGACGTCCGTACTACTTTTTCTCTTAATATCATGAATCGGATAAATTTTATTTCTTGTTTGTTTTATTTTATTTCTTTCCTATTAATTGTGACTTTATATACTAAACCAACAGATGCATGTGTCTGCACATAAATTTCTTTCACTTAATATATATTCTTACGTTATTAAATCGCTTAACCATTATAAGTTAGTATGATTTGATATAAATATCGAGTACGAGCAAGTTTTTACTGTCAGAGACATGTGCATTCACTATTTTATAACAAAGAATAGGAACTTATTGATAGAATTGTAAACTTCTTGTTGTAAGAATAAAAAAACAACTAAACATTATAAAGCTTATCAATCCTGGTTAGTTATGATTTTCAAGAGGTTGTNAACCAGTTGCTCAAACTCTAAGAACATAATATATAGAGAATTAACTGTCTTTATTTGTGAGAATTTGATATAATGTGTAGTCTTTTTGTAGGTGTCATTTTCTACACTTCGCAAGGACACTCTCAATGTTCTGGATTTCATAGAGAGCTTAAAGAATGAAGAAATTCAAAAAGCTGTTGATGTGGATCTAACTGAAAAGCTGATATTGGAGCTGGACTTCCTCCTTCTGAATCTCCATCATCTTTCCAAACAAACTTCTCCATTCATGACAGATTATGAGATTCTTCAGAATGTATGTGGCAACATAAGAGATTTCCACGAGTGGATAGTGAATGGTTGCGTTGGGCATGAGATTGTTGAATATGTCTTACCTCAGTTTCAACTAATGGCTGAGAGGGTAGGATGCTTCCTATGGCCTAATCAAATTGGTGGGCACTCTCGACTCTTCAAGCTAGAACATCTATTCTTTGAGATTATTCCAACTCAGTTGGAGGTTATGCACATATGTTTTACAAATTTGAAAGCTTCAACATCAGCAGAAGTTGGACACTTTATTAAGCAGCTCCTAGAAACCTCTCCGGACATTCTTAGAGAATATTTGATCCATCTACAAGAGCACATGATAAATGTTATTACCGCTAGCACTCCAGGGGCTCGAAACATTCATATCATGATAGAGTTCCTATTAATCATTCTCACTGATGTGCCTAAGGACTTTATTCATAATGGCAAGTTGTTTGAATTCCTAGCACGTGTTGGAGCACTCACCAGGGATGTATCAGTTATTGCTCACGACTTAGAAGAGAAATCAAAGAAAGGAGAGAGTACCAATGAAACAAACAGTGCAACTCTAGACTTGCTCGAAAATGTTGAACTCCTGAAGAGAGAACTCAAAGATGTTTACCTGAAAGCCCCGGACTCATCTCAACTCTACTTTCCCAGGAGGAGTGATGGACCCCTGTTCATGCATCTTCTACTTAGACACTTAAATGATTTGCTCAATTCCAATGCTTATTTAGTTGCTTTGATAAAGGAAGAAATCAGGCTGGTGAAAGAACATCTAGAATTTCTAAGATCTTTCTTTGGGATTGTTGAGCAAGAATTGTATAAAGTTCTCTGGGCACGTGTTTCAGATGTGGCATACGAGACAAAAGATGTCATTGATTCAATTATTGTAAGAGATAATGGACTCTTACATCTTATTTTCTCACTTCCCTTTGCCATAGAAAAGATTAATCTTATCAAAAAAAAGGTCTCAAATTTGATCGAGAAGATTCCCAAGATCATGGGCGTCATTGCTGTGAACTCTCCCAACAAGCCAGTTGCGCGTAAGTCATCAATATCTGGTAAAATAATCGTAGGTTTTGAAGAGGAGACATACTTGATAATTAGGAAGCTCACCAGTGGACCAAAAACGCTAGATGTCATTTCGATCACTGGTATGCCGGGTTCCGGTAAAACTACTTTGGCGTACAAAGTGTATAATGATAAGTCAGTTTTTGGTCATTTTGACATCTGTGCATGGTGTACAATCGATCAAAAGTATGACGAGATGGAGTTGCTGAAAAAACTTTTTAATCAAGTTGTTGGCTCAACTTCGAAATTCGGTAAGAAGATTGATGTTGTTGATGAGCTACGGAAATATCTGTTTGGAAAGAGGTACCTTATAGTCTTAGATGATTTGTGGGACACTGCAGCATGGGATGAGTTGACAAGACCGTTTCCTGAAGTTGAGAAAGGAAGTCGAATTATTTTGACGACTCGAGAAAAGAAAGTGGCTGTGCATGCACAACGCCACAGTGTTCCTCTTGACATTCGATTGCTAATACTGGAAGAAAGTTGGGAGTTATTAGAGAAAAAGGTCTTTGGAAAAGAAAGTTGCCCTGATGAACTACTGGATGTTGGAAAAGAGATAGTCCAAAACTGTAAAGGGCTTCCTTTGGTGGTTGATTTGATTGCTGGAGTCATTGCGGGGAAGGAAAAGAAAAGGAGTGTGTGGCTTGAAGTTCGAAATAATTTGAATTCCTTCATTTTACAGAAAGAAGAGAACGTGATGAATGTTATAGCATTAAGTTATGACCATTTACCTGATCCCTTAAAGTTGTGCTTACTTTACTTTGCAAGTTATGAGAAGGACAGAGCAATTCCAGTAGAAGTTTTGAAAAGATTGTGGCGTGCCGAAGGATTTGCGGAACACACTGAGATGAACAGTGTGAAAGAAGTGATGGATGTTTATTTGGATAATTTAATTTCCAGTAGCTTGGTTATTTCTTTCAAGGAGATAGGTAAAGACCGGACTTGCCAAATTCATGATCTTGTGCATGACTTTTGTTTGATAAAAGCAAGAGAGGAAAAGTTGTTTGACAGTACAAGTTCAAGTGCTCTATCATCATCTTCTTCAGATCTGATGCCACGTCAAATGAACATTAGATATAGTGAGGGGCATAAAAATTTTATCCTGTTCGATTCAAAAAATAAAAGGCATTCTGGTTATAAACACCTCTATTCTTTGAGGATAACTGGACACATATATCATGACAAAAGTCTTTATGATTTATGTCACCTAAGACACTTGAGGCTTCTTAGAGTGTTGCAACTGGATGGCATTCTGGTGAATGATTCTTTGCTGAATGAAATATGCACATTGGTTCATTTGAGGTACTTAGACATTTCGACAGAAGTTAAATCTCTTCCTTCGTCTTTTTCAAATCTTTGGAATCTGGAAACTCTATGGGTATATAAATATGGACCACCCATGGTACTATTACCAACAATTTGGAATCTTGTAAAGTTGCGAGTACTGGGCATAGATAATTGTTCTTTCTTCGATTTGGATAAGAATGAGCCAATACTGATTGCAGAGTACTCAAAGTCAGAGAACTTGGGATTAATACAGGGACTCAAACTTTCCTATTCAAAAGACACAGAGGATATTTTCAAAAGGTTTCCCAATCTTCAAGAGCTTAGATTTAATCTCAAGGAATCATGGGATTGTTCAACAGGGCGATATTGGTTCCCGAAATTGGACTTCCTAAATGAACTACAATCTCTCAAAGTAACTTTTGAAAGAGGCCGATTTGCCCCCTCTGTAGCGGAAAATCGGCCATTGTGGGATTTTTATTTCCCTTCGAGTTTGAAAGATCTGTGGTTGCGCCAGTTTCCTTTGACATCCGGTTCACTATCAACAATAGCGAAACTGCCCAAGCTTGAAGATCTGTACCTTGAAGACACAATCATCGAGGGGGAAGAATGGAACATGGGGGAGGAAGACACCTTCCAGAATCTCAAATGTTTGACATTGCAGCGAGTGACTCTTGCTAAGTGGGAGGTTAGAGAGGAATCCTTTCCTGCGCTTGAGAAATTACGACTGTGGTACTGTCGAAAGCTTGAGGAGATTCCACCTAGTGTTGGGGATATTTGTTCATTAAAAAGTATCGAACTGCGGAGGAGCCCTCAACTTGAAGAATCTGCTCTGAAGATTAGGCAATATATTGAAGATATGACGAGGGATATCCAGGTCCTTGTTTATAACTGATCAAGTTTTGAACACTTTTACCCTGGGAAAATATGTGAGTACAGACGAATTTATCACCTCCTCATTTTCATTATATGTGGCAGTGTTTGACCAGTGTAATTTTCTTTTGCAGAACGCATGTAAGGAATACACCCTCAGACATCTAAATTCTATTGCTGTTCTTGTTTTCTTCATTTTGTGGGTAAATATACCCAGCATTTGTTCTTTCAAATTGTTGTTCTTGTATAATCTCTTTTCTTCTTCGGCATGGCTTGAATTGTTTGCATATCATATGTTACTCCTCAAGTCCAGAAACATGCATGGGATTGCTAACTCTCCGCAATAATATTCACTCAGATGGAAGATGCAGGCTGCAAGAATCAGCCTATCAACGCATTTGGATTTGAGGCTGCTGTATCTTGATCAAGATGTTTCAATAGGTGCTTCTGTACAATATTTGGCCTCATATATGTGCAACAGTAAGTGTTATAAAAAATCCTCCAGTGCCTATTAATACATTAATGCATGATATCCCATCGCAAAATTCAGAAAAATGTACTAATCCTAATGTGAGTAAAGATGCAGTATTTCAGTCAAATTTGAGTATTACCGCTACTGGTAGTTGTGATAATATAAGGGAGGCTGAAAATTTCAGTCCAAATGTGCAAGAGCCACTAAGCTATCACCTCCTTCACTGATACATTGTGTTTTCAGTACCTTCTGCAGACTGAACATGCTTCTGTTCCTCTGTCAAGAATCTCCAACACCTCCATTGTTGATTTTGGAGTCCTGATGTTGAATACTTATATAGAATGTGTATTCACTTTACATAACAGTGAAGAAAGAGTAGATGGTGGTGCAACTTCAACTGTAATGCAGAAAATTCAAATTCTCCGGTCTTTATACCTACCTCGTTGGCTGCCAGTGGTGAGGCGCAACAAGTTGATGCACATGGGATGAAAGAAACAAGTGCAATTAGATTGATTGGCATTTGCTGCACTCTACTGAGATAAACTATATCTGATGCCACATGGGCTATATTTCCCAATTGCAAGTATACTTAGTCATGTTTCAAAAGAGTCGATGAAATGTAAAACATGCCTAATATTTAAAATGTAATGAATTCCACTTTTCCTTCAAATTTATTGTTTAAAGCAATGCTATCAATACACATTAAAGAATAGTCAACAGTAAAAATAGCATCTTGACAAGAGCATATTAGTCGCAGTTTCTGCTTTAATTTCTAAAGTTCAGGTTGTAATTTGGGCCCTTATGGAATGGTTAAGCAATCATGAAGATGAACCAAAGGAAATTACATGCATAGTATCATCAGCTGTTGAAAATGTCATTTGGAATTTTTGCATTTTAATTTTGCACGACTTAGTACTATTTCTACTTTGACTTTTTGCTTTCTTAGTTTGTTACTTTCTACAATGTTTTTTTCCGGAATGGGGTCAGATATTTTTGCCGGTTGGTGTCAATGTTACGTTGTTATCAATCTGTGATTCTTTTTCTTTATTTTTTCCTACTGTTTTCTTTGTATTCACACTGATAATTTTCAGCATTCTCACACCTACAATTTCTTTTCGTCTTTTGTATGAGGCCAATGCTATTTTTTGCTAAGCGTTACACCCGATCGAAACGGCAGCACCCTTAATGCTGCTCAACCACTCGACTCAATTGTCGCACTGAGGTGAGGTAAGACTAGTTTTGATACATTCAATCACGAACTCGTTTGACTTTGATCACAAAAGCTAATTTATGAGGGAGGAATTGTGAACTAGTTATTAGCTTATATTCTTGAATTGTTTTGCTGCTTTAGGTTTGCCAAAATTGAGCATGTTTGGTCACAGTCAAATTTTTTTTAAAACTCTATTTGTTAGATTTAGCGGGAACTTTGATAAAAGATGATTTAAGCATAAACACTAGAAAGTCCTGTCAAATTCCAAAAATTGGAGAACCAAAGACTGCACCACACATAAGAAATAGGACAAAATAGTAGAAATTACATCGCATAGGCACAAGAAATAGACCAAAATAGCAGAAACTCTAAAAAGTTGTTCTTCCAACTATGAATAGTTCCCGTTAAATTTTACAACCAGAGTTTGTTGCTCTCACCATCTCATTTTATGTGAGGCTATTTTTTTTAATCAGTCTCTGATCACGCCCAACTATGCCTTATAAAAAGGATTAAGCGGTCGTTGCAAATATAATCCGGTTTACAAGTCCGGAGTTGAATCCCACAGAGAACTAAGGCTTAGCTACAGTTGTTCAATATTGCTAAGAAATACAAGTCCAAACAATTTTCTAATTATAAAGATTATAATATTTATTTTTAACTGATTAACTAACAACCATTATATATAAAGCAGTAAAATTATCAACTAACAAGAATGAAATTTGAGACAAGATTAAGGAGGTCTAGAGTTATAATTTTCCCAATTGTCGGAATCCTTCCCGCTATGCCTTCTATAATTTCGCCAAAGTATTTTCTCTACCGATTCTGAGCGCTTTGAGTGTCGTAATTCTCTTCCGAGTAACTACCACAATTTACTAGACATATTCTTCCGAACTACTCTAGCTGGCACTAAGTTACGGCTCACTCGGATCTCACTAAGGTTTCATTATTCCTAATCCCACCTTTAAACCCTCCGTATTGATTTCTCACATACGTTAGGAGTGATGTTGTTCAACAACTACCTAAATGTGTACCCTTTTCCAAGCAATACCTATTAATAGATACGGTCAATTGATGGCCATTCAATCAACAACAATAAACACGTAGTTGAACAAGTAGAGCGATCCAACGACTCAATTATATAAAAACATAACAAGAATTTATCCTGCAAAAGTTTTATCAAAACTCTAAATAACAAATTAGCTATTCATAATAGTATGCATAACTACAATGCTATAATTCATAACCAATAATGGAAATAGGAAGAAGGAAGTAAAAAACTCGTAGAAGAATTCTCCACCTTGCTCCTAGTGTGTTTTTGCCTCCTTAGGTCCAAAGTGTGTCAAAAGTACTCAAAATACCATTTTTTCATGTATATATACCAAGTAGGGTCGGGCTCAAACAATTATACCTTCTTCTATGCGAAAAAGGACACTTTTCCCGGACAGGACGTGCGCGACCGCGCACTTTTCACACTTTCTGCCCCATATGCGCGGTCATTGGGAATTTGAAATAACGTAAAACATGAAAGTTGTAGACCTTTAGATTATATTTCCAACCATATATTGTGGAGCCCAAATGGAATTATGGTCGAAAAGTTATGTGTATTTTACTAGACAATGCGCAATATGCCTACTTGATTCTTCGTTCGTTCTAAATTGTCATCCGTTGATCCCCGAACACGATCCTGGCTTAATTCCTTGGGCTTTTACTCAGACTTCAAAGCTCCAAATCACTTGAATTTATTTCATAATATCTACATATCTCGGAATCATTCCTACAAGGCATAAAATACACAATTAGTGCAAAACACTAGCGATTAAAGCTCAAACTCAACTAAAGTGCAGTAAATTAGAGTGTAATAAGCGACTAAAATACGTAATTATAGCCTATCATCTGTCCCAAAAAGAATGTCATCTTTTCTTATTTAGAAACAATCTATCTTTAAGATTTCTACTTTATCCTTAATAAATTGATTTATAACTACAAAAATATTTATGGTTCATTTCTGTTATTAATCCTCATATTTATCAATTAGTATTAAGTGAAATCGCGTGTCCTTAGAACCACATTATAAGTTTAATTGTAATTCAATTTTAAGAGTAAACAGATTTATAATCAAGAGATTTAGTCAACTTTTGTTTTTCACTATGTCAAGTCTTATTTGTTCATGACTTTGATCATGTGATTGCTAGAGATTTGGCCTTAATTGAACTCACTGTGAACTTAAAGTAGAAAATTAGTTTAGCCTTATCCCTTACATTGATATACTTCTACGAGTTATTGTAACATATGTTGTCACAATGAATGGTTGTAGCCATTCTTATTATTTCCTTGGTCTTATTTCAGACATGGTTGAACAAAGACAAGCTCGAATTACTCCAGGTGGGAGTTCTCGAAGTCGAGGAAGGGGACAACGTAGAAGGTTGCGTCGTCGCAGGACTTATTTCTATAATGATTCAGATTCGGAGCCTGAAGTCATCAGGAATGTCCCAAGAGCGATGCAAAATGAGTTAAGGGATCGAAGGGCTGAACGAAGGGAATGAGAAAAGAAATTTAGGGAGTTTAAGGAATTTAAAATGGGCCCCGATGTTTCCATTCCTGAACATATACACCTTTTTCAGTTAAAAAGAGCTGAATTGGCTAATTACATAGAAATTACTGATTGGGAAGCATTAGCTATTTTAGTGAACTCTATTCGAGAGCCTTGGGGTGAAATTTTAACTGAGATTATCATGATATTTGGCTTAGTGCACCTTTTAGCGTATATTTTCAAGAGTTAGTATTCGATTGGTACATGGATGTCCTAGCAAACATGTAAATTGTTATTATATGTTTTGTTTTAATAAATTTTAAATTATGTTGTTTGTCTCACCAGTTACATATATTATTTATTATTTTATTTTATAATGAATTGAGACTTGAAATAAAGTACACACTAAGAAGTGATTTTAATATTAATTAAAATATTTAGTTATAGATGATGAATTGAAACGTAGCGACCTTTCGATTCTATACTACATGTAGAATTAATATTATAATTAATTTGCTTGAGTGTGTAATCACATGCATAAATTGATTGCGGTATATATTGATGAGTTGAACTTGTATTATTGTCTCTAATAACAGACATGGCATTGAAAAGTATCATTGCTGACTTGAACAAGCGTGACAAACTGAATGGTGAAAATTACGAATGGAGGGATTTGGAAACTTACAATATTTGGAAAAAGAAAAATTCCACTGCACGTGGAATTTTTGTAAGTTCAGTTGCAGATGATCTCATCCACGAATGTGAGCAATATCCTACTGCTCAAGCCATGTGGGCACATTTAAGAGAGGCATATGGGGGTACAACTGTGACTCGCCTTCAACAACTGACAATCAAATTTGACACGTACAAAAAGCGTCATGATCACAGTGTCAAGCGACACCTAAGGGTGATGTCAAATATGATTGCTCAACTCAAAAGTGTTGACCATGTTCTCTCTGATTAGCAGCAGGTGCATGCATTAATTTGGTTTCTTCCCAATAATTGGGAACATCTGAAGACAATGATAGCATCAAAATTTTTGCTTATGTTGCCCGTCATGTGGAGCTTGAAGACGAGCGGCTTGGTACTGCTAAAGTTGTACATAATGCCTTTGTGGCAGAATCAAGTGGTACAAAGAGATCAAGCTTCAAGCGCAAGAGAAACTGGAAAAATGACAGAAAGGGTAAGGAGACCGGAGAAGGATCCTCCAAGAAAAGAAACAGGAAATTTCTACTCGTGTCATTCTTTCTTCGTCTTTCTTTCAAACAATCCAGCAAGTCATCACCCAAAACCCAACAAAAATACTTCATAAAATTCCTTTTTACACTCCAAAAAGTGGAGTCAATAGTCGAGGTCGAGGATTCCGTTGGAGCTCTGTTCACTAGGTTTGATGTTATTCGTCGCTTATGCTTGTTCGACGTTCGTCTGAGTTATTGTACCTGTTCTTGGGGACTCATTTAATTAGAAATTTTGCATTAAAGGTTTATTCTTCAAGCACCGACATATAAAAGAGTAAATATATCAACAATGCTCACAAAGTTAAAGAAACTAAGACTATTTCAAAATTGGCGTCCAACCATTTTCTACCTGACATCAATGATGTGGTGCCTTGACTCACCCGAATTATCAACTTCTTATTCATACATACACAAAAACAGAGAGGAGCAAATGGCACAGAGCTTTGAACAAGTCCATAGTGATACTGCTTGTCTGCAATCAAAGATATACAGCTTTACCATAGGAGCAGCGCCCATTTCCATTTGTTACATTCATTGCAATAAGGTGTTAAATCCTCGTCAAAGAGACGAGATTAACATCACGCGAGACAAGGTCAAATTGTAACAAATAAAATAAAACAAAATAAGCCAATATAAAGAACAAACTGAGCAAGCTCGCTCGGACACCACAGTTATCCGATATAAATAACAAAATGAGCAAGCTGGCTTGAACACCACAGTTCTAAAAAATATATATATATGTAAATAGAAAACTGAGAAAATTAAGGGGAAATTACGTGGGAGAGCGAGTAAGCAAGAGTTGTGACTGATCAGCGGACGAAACAGAAACAGAACCTCAAGATTTTACTGTAGGCTTTGGAAGAGCAGCAGAAATGGAACTTAAGCTGCTATTTGGATCCTGAGACATCGCGCTACAATAAGCCTTTTGTATTCCTTCCATAGTATCAGAGGCAAATTCACGGACTTTGACAAAGGGACATTGTCCCATATTGGAGGAGGAAAAGTATTTTGCTGGATATATATACAATTGCACTTCTTCTAGCTCGTAAAGAGTTAAGAAGAAGGCAAGCCTCGCGTTGTCGTTGTCATCGCTCGGCTTCGACTTCGGTCAAATGATTTGATTGATTAATTTTTGGATCAAATTTATTTGTTAATATTTAGATTAACGTAATATTATTTTAATCCAAACTAGCCATTGTTTGTAACGGTAATCTGATTGATTGATGACTGCCTGCTATGATGTGTTATTTGTGTTGCAGCCTTCATGAAGTATTGCAACTCTTCGGTTTTACCCAACGTTATCTTTTCCTCGGAGTTTTCTTAGGAAATTTGTGATTTCTTCTTCTTCCTTCTGCATTATTTTTACCAAAAAGAAAGCAGATTTGCTACCGACTTTTGAATTCGTTGGTCACTGGGATTTGAAGTACCGCTACACCAGCAAGGGTAATCCGTTCTATCCTGGAAGGAAATAATCCTAAACCTCAAGTACTAGGAGGGGATTAAGTTCCTTAAGGAAACATTGTGAATTCATTGGACTCGGATTGATTTCTGTTCTTCTACATTTCTGGTTTTACATTGTTTCTATTTTTGAATATATTTTCGAATACAGAATACTAACACTTTTTAGCTACTAATTAATTTGTAGGACTTGTATGTATGGTTAAACATTAGTCGTAATTCTTTTTGAGAAAATCTGAAGTGGATGTTATGGCCCTTGTTGAAATTGTCAAAAGTCCCACATCGATGGATGACAATTTTAAAATGAGAATTTCACCCTATAAAAGGAGGCCTAATGTTTAGGATTTAAGTACACCTCTCATTTGCCTTTTATCTTCTTAAGGCATTTGTATCTTCTCTCTTTAGTATTATTTCACTTGTAATTTTGGAGTGGAATAAAATATTGATTGTGTCCGAGGAAGTAGGCAAAATTGGCCGAACCTCGTAAATTCTGGTGTTCTTTTATTGTTGTCTTATTGTCTTGTTTATTATTTAGTGGTTGTCATAATTTTTGGTATAGTAGTTGTGACTCATTCACACTATATACATTTGGCTTCCCAACACTTAAATGAAATGGTGGTTGCTGCCCAGTAGCTGGTAATATTTATGTTTAAAGTGATTGATGTAAATGCAACAGCAGAAGGCTGTCATTTTACCCTATGGGGTCGTTTGGTGCTTGGACTAAATTATCCACGGATTATGATCTTGGAATTATAATCCCTAGACTAATTTATCCTACCTGGGAGGTCATTCTTTTCCTTTAATTGGCAGTTGGGACTTGATGCAATTTGCACAGTTGCAATAATATTGTATTGCTTTTAAATTATATTCACGGCTCTATATAAATTGCAAAAAGAAAAAAAGGTTACTCCATTTTATGTAGACTATATATACTTTTTCTTTTTAGTATGTTTTAAAAAACAGATTTTTATATCATGAAATCATTTAATTTTAAAATTACACCTCCAAATATGAAAAAGGATAGCATGATGCACAAAGCATTTCGCAGTTACGTGCAGGGTCCAAGGAAGGGCAGCCATGACTCGAACTTATAATCTATAGGTCACATGGAAATAACCTTGCCGTTGCTCCAAGGCCATGGCTCCCCTTCTCACCTCTAAATATGAGTTCCCGTTAAAAACCATCACAATTTATCAAATATATTAAAAAAAAAATGCTTACTTTTAGCAAACTTAAAGAAACAACTCGGAAGTATATTCAAGAGACTATCTCAAATTTAATGCCCAACCATATCTTTGTCATTTTTCTACCTAACATCAATGATCTGGTGCCCTTATCCCCTTACCTCTTCACACGAATTTTCAACTTCTTATCTCACGTAGTTGGTTTGTTGAAAAGGGGAGAATTCATACATTATACATACACAATAACAGAAAGAATGGGCAATTAGTTTCAAGTTCTCTGGACAATCAGAGAATTCTAGCATTGATATTGTTACTCTATTGTTGTTCCTTCTCTTTGCAGCAAACCTTTTGATATTAAAGTCACCACACACAACACCTGAACCCACGGGCGGATATAGTGTGTTAGCGACGTGTTCAATTGAATCCATAACTTTCATGTGGAGTAAAAAATTATGTGTAAAAATTCTTTAAAATTATAAAAATAGCCTTATTCTGTGTTCAGGTTTCCGTCAATCTCGCAGGTGGAAACTCTTATTGAATCATCAGTGTCTATCTCTATTCAATTGCTTCAGTGATGGGATGTACAAATTACTGTTATTCATTCATGTTGTGGTATCAGAGTGTTAAAATTTCCTTGAATATTTGCTGAATCTTAAGTTGAGATTATCTGACTGTTGATGTGATTTTTATGTGTATAATCATTCTTTTTTATTGTGTATGATGAAAAACCAACTAATTTTTTTGTCATCGGAGCTTCATTACTATATTGCAGCTTACTTAAGAAATATTTAGAAGCTATCTTTTTATGTGGCATACTTTTACTCTTTAGTCTGTGTCTCAGATAGAGTGACACCTTTTTCTATATTTAAAAACGATTCAATTCTAAATTCTCATTTTACCCTTAATAAGATATCTACAACCACACAAGTGTTTACACAAGTGTGCCGAGTTAGACACCGCCACATAAAATGAGACGAAGGGAGTGGTTTTCTATGCTTTTGACGTGTCACTTGTAGCTTGTGATTTCTCGCAATAGCAGTAGTCTTGAATTGCAGCAAAAAGTCTCTTTTATATATAGTTGCAAAGTTAACCGAAAATCTTCCAAAACCTAGAATATTTCGGTTAAAGAAAACCTTTCCTATTTTGATTTGATTTCCTTATTTGTTTCAAACTCTTCAACTTCTCTTTCCACGCAAGTTTTTCCCTTAAATACAAAATACTTTTTGACCACGAACTCCTCCAATTGACATATTCCTTTTAGGGCACGCACATGACTTTCTGAGGAATCCAACTTGCATGAGTATTCTGACAGTCTGCACGAACTTGGTTCACTTGGCATTTGTATCTCTTATCTGCATACCACGCTGGTAGCACGTCAACCTGGAATATGAAACCTAGTTCTATGTTTGTTAGATTTAGCGAAACTTTGATAAGACCTATCAAATTCTAGAAACTGCACCACCCATCAGAAAAAGGACAAAATAGTAGAAATTACACCGCAAAATACAACACTAGCCAAAAGAAAAAAACCAAAATAGCAGAAAATGTGAGTTCCCCTTAACAACTTGTTTGGATTGTTTTTACATGTTATTTCATAATGTATCATATTGTATTGTATTGTAGAAAGTAACAAACTAAGAAAGCAAAAAGTCAAAGTAGAAATAGTACTAAGTCTTGCAAAATTAAAATGCAAAATTCCAGATGACATTTTCAACAATCGATGATACGATGCATGTAATTTCCTTTGGTTCATCTTCATGATTGCTTAACCATTCCATAATGGCCCAAATTCCAGCCTGAACTTTAGAAATTAAAGCAGCAACTGCGACAAATTAAAATTAAAATTAAAATTAACCTGTGCATTATATTGGTAATAGTACTTGCAAAGTTTAAACTAATAGTTGAGAAATTAGTCCAATAGAGAAAAATATCAAATCAAAGTTTAATATTACAAGTAGTTTAATGAATTTGAATTATTGAAAGCTGTAAATGTTGTATAGCAATAGAGTGGTGTTTAACATCTTGTGATGTCTAAAGATAGATAAAATAAAGGGCATCCCGGTGCACAAAGCATCCCACATGAGTTTGCTTTGCAGTTTGCAACTTTTCACATCATGAGTTTGCTTTGCAGCCAAAGTTGGTGAGTCTATGACAGAGTGCTATCGAAGCTTAGCATCACCAAAACTAGCGCGGAAGTTGAGTCAGGCTGTTGAACAACAACCAAGGCATTGTCGATTTGGGAGGGATGAAAGTGTGAGCTTCTTGTTTGTTTTGTTGTTTCACAGAAGACGGAGCAAGAATAGCAGCAAAATTATCTACACATGTAGAGCTAACTACAACTACAGCTGCATCTAATTGCAAATTCATCGACCTGCACATGTTTTTCTTTCATCCCATGTGCATCAACTTGTTGCGCCTCACCACTGGCAGCCAGCGAGGTAGGTATAAAGACCGGAGAATTTGAATTTTCTGCATTACAGTTGAAGTTGCACCACCATCTACTCTTTCTTCACTGTTATGTAAAGTGAATACACATGCAGCCTCACCTCCAAATGCGTCGATGGGCTGATTCCTGGTGCGTGTGAATTCTGTCAGCCTGCATCACAATTATAACTCTATGCTGGGCTGATTGTGAAAGATATATAAAAACTTGAAAAAGCTGAGATATAAGGTAACTTTCATATAGTACAGAGGTTGCCGACGTTTTGTTTCAGTTACTTCTTGCTATCCTCCAAATCCACTTCCTACAGCACTATTCTCATCATTGCGGAGAGTCAGCAATCCCATGTATGTTTCTGGACTTGAGGAGTAACATATGATATGCAAACAACTAAAGCCATGCCCAAAAAAGAAAAGAAAAAGTATACAATAACAACAATTTGAAAGAACAAATGCTGGAGTATATTTACCCACAAAATGAAGAAAAGAAGAATGGAAATAGCTGGGAGAATGCATTAGATGCATTGGATGTATTCCTTACATGCATTCTGCAAAACATAATTACACTGGTCAAACTCTGCCACATATAATGAATGAAATGAAGGAGGTAATAAGTTCGTATATACTCACATATTTTCTCACTTATGAACAAGGACCTGAATCCTGTCTTCTCCCATCGTATCTTCAACATCTTGCTTAATCTTCAGAGCAGATTCTTCAAGTTGAGGGCTCCACTTCAGTTCGATACTTTTTAATGAACAAATATCCCCGAAACTGGGCGGAATCTCCTCAAGCTTACGACAGTCCCGCAGTCGTAATTTCTCAAGCGCAGGAAAGGATTCCTCTCTAACCTCCCACTTAGCAAGATTCACTCGCTGCAATGTCAAACATTTGAGATTCTGAAAGGTGTCTTCCTCCCCCATGTTCCATTCTTCCCCCTCGATGATTGCGTCTTTAAGGTACAGCTCTTCAAGGTTGGACAGTATTCCTATTGTTGATAGTGAATCGGATGTCAGAGGAAACTCACGCAAACACAACATTTTCACACTCGAAGGGAAGTGAAAATTCCAAAGCCGATTTGTCGCTATAGAGAGCGCACTATCATTTGAATTTGAACTTTTAAAAGTTACTTCGAGAGATTCTAGTTCATTTAGGAAGTCCAATTTCGGGAACTGATATCGCCCTGTTGAACAATCCCATAATTCCTTGAGATCAAATCGAAGCTCGTGAAGATTGGGAAACCTTTTGAAAATATCCTCTGTGTCTTTTGAATAGGAAACTTCGAGTCCCCGTAATGATCTCAAGCTCTCTGACTTTGAGTCCTCTGCTACCAGTATTGGCTCATTCTTATCCAAATCAAAGAAGGAACAATTATATATAGCCAGCACTCGCAACTTTACAAGATTCCAAATTGTTGGTAATAATACCAAGGGTGGTCCATATTTATTCACCCACAGAGTTTCCAGATTCAGGAGATTTGAAAAAGACGAAAGAGATTTAACTTTTGTCCGAATGTTTAAGTACCTCAAATTATTTCGAACTTCAAGCCACACACTCCTTTTCTTTTCCTTCCCTGCAACGACTCCAGCAATCAAATCAACCACCAAAGGAAGCCGTTTGCAGTTTTGGACTATCTCTTCTCCAATATCCAGTAGTTCATCAGGGCAACTTTCTTTTCCAAAGACCTTTTTCTCTAATAACTCCCAACTTTCTTCCTGTGTTAGCAATCGAAGGTCAAGAGGATCACTGTGGCGTTGTGCATGCATAGCCACTTTCTTTTCTCGAGTCGTCAAAATAATTCGACTTCCTTTCTCAACTTCAGGAAAAGGTCTTGTCAACTCATCCCATGCTGCAGTGTCCCACAAATCATCTAAGACTATAAGGTACCTCTTTTCAAACAGCTGTTTCCGTAGCTCATTAGCAACATCAATATTCTTACCGAATTTCGAAGATGAGCCAACAACTTGATTAAAAAGTTTTTTCAGCAACTCCATCTCGTCATACTTTTGATCGATTGTACACCATGCACGGATGTCAAAATGACCAAAAACTGACTTGTCATTATACACTTTGTACGCCAAAGTAGTTTTACCGGAACCCGGCATACCAGTGATCAAAATGACATCTAGCGTTTTTGGTCCACTCGTGAGCTTCCTAATTATCAAGTATGTCTCTTCTTTAAAACCTACGATTATTTTACCATCTATTGATGATTTGCGCTCAACTGGCTTGTTGGGAGAGTTCACAACAATGACGCCCATGTTCTTGGGAATCTTCTCAAATAAATTTGAGACCCTTTCTTTGATAAGATTGATCTTTTCTATGGCAAGGGGAAGTGAGAAAATAAGATGTAAGAGACCATTTTCTCTTCCAATAATTGAATCAATGATATCTTTTGTCTCGTATGCCACATCTAAAACACATGCCCAGAGATCTTTATACAATTCTTGCTCAACAATCCCGAAGAAAGATCTTATGAATTCTAGATCGTCTTTCACCAGCCTGATTTCTTCCTTTATCAAAGCAACTAAATAAGCATTGGAATTGAGCAAATCATTTAGGTGTCTAAGTAGAAGATGCATGAATAGGGTTGCATCACTCAAGGGAAAGCAGAATTGAGATGAGTCCAGGGCTTTCAGGTAAACATATTTGAGTTCTCTCTTCAGGAGTTCAATATTTTCGAGCAAGCCTAGAGTTGCACTGTTTGTTTCATTGGTACTCTCTGCATTCTTTGATTTCACTTCCAAGTCGCGAGCAATAGCTGATACATCCCTGGTAAGTGCTCCAACACGTGCTAGGAATTCAAACAACAGGCCATTATGAATAAAATCCTTAGGCACATTATGAATATCATGATATGAATGTTTACCATGTGCTCTTGTAGATGAATCAGATATTCTCTAAGAATGTCCGGAGAGGAGAGATTTGAATGTTGATGGAATAATTACTAAGTTTGGAAGGACTAGAACTTTCATGGAGAGTCTTGTCTCTCCTANAAGTATAATGCCATATAATCCATTTAACACTTGTTCTATGCCTTGTGCAGGGAACTTGGACAATCTATGGAATCGATTGTTAGAGAACTTGGACAGAGCCATTGAGCCCTGGATCTCACTATATTTTAGTTCCAGGAGTGTTGCTCTTTAATTATGATGTTATAAAATGGATACTATTTTAGATCTCACTATATTTTAGTTCCAGGAGTGTGCTAGCGGTAATAACATTTACCATGTGCTCTTGTAGATGAATCAGATATTCTCTAAGAATGTCCGGAGAGGTTTCTAGGAGCTGCTTAATAAATTGTTCAACTTCTGCTGATGTTGAAGCTTTCAAATTTGTAAAACATATGTGCATAACCTCCAGTTCAATTGGAATAATCTTCAAGAGTAGATGTGCTAGTTTGAAGAGTCGAGAATCTCCAGGAAACTGATCATCCCAATGGAAGCGTCCTACTCTCTGAGCCATTAGTTGAAACTGAGGTAGGACATGTTCAACAATCTCATGCCCAACACAACCATTCACTATCAACCCGTGGAAATCTCTTATGTTGCCACATACATTCTGAAGAATCTCGTATTCAGTCACGAATGGCGAAAGTTGTTCAGCACAATACTTGGAAAGATGATGGAGATTCAGAAGGAGGAAGTCCAACTGCTCCCCAGTCATGGAGGCACTTGATTTAGCAAGATAACATGACACCTGCTAAAAGACAATGACACCTGCTAAAAGACCAAACATTATTTCAAACTCTCACAATGAAAGACGGTTAATTCTCTATATATTATGTTCTTAGAGTTTGAGCAACTGGTTATGTATCCAAAATAAGCATGTCAAGAAAATGGTTTACTATGCATATGTTCAACTGGATTAAAAGAATATGTTCAGCCGGTGTCCCCCCCCCCCCCCCACAATTTACTAGATTATGCAACGATTTAGTAAAGATTTATTCTAACCATTCCGAGGAAGAGATGGATAGAAGTAACTGTCAAACATATAAACACAACCTCTTGAAAATCATAACTAACCAGGATTGATAAGCTTTATAATGTTTAGTTGTTTTTTTTATTCTTACAACAAGAAGTTTATAATTCTATCAATAAGTTCCTATTCTTTGTTATACAATAGTGAATGCACATGTCTCTAATAGCAAAAACTTGCTCGTACTCGGTATTTGTACCAAAAATACTAACTTAGAATGGTTAAGCGATTTAATAACGTAAGAACATATATTAAGTGAAAGAAATTTATGTGCAGACACATGGCATGCATTTGTTGGTTTAGTATATAAAGTCACAATTAATCGAAAATAAATAAAATAAATCGAACAAGAAACAAAACTTATCAAATTCATGATATTAAGAGAAAAAGTAGTATATACGTCATGGATTTCAATTTCTTCAACCATAGGTTCATTTGCCTCAATTTTTTAGCTTCAGGAACATTTGCTGAAGTATGAAGTGAAGAAACGGAAGTAGAGGTGATTAAGAGAAGGAGGGAATAATCACAACATACGTCACGGATTTCAATGTCTTCAACCGTATGTTCCTTTGTTGAAGTGGGAGAAGCAAGTTTCTGCAAATAAACACCAATAGCATCAAGGTACAACCCAGAACGCCCGTGAAATCCCACAATAGCTACACCTTCTTTCATCACAAGTGAAAATGGGGTTCCACCAGCCTCAGACCCAAATGGTCCATAATTATTTGCATTAGTTATAAAACATAGAGATTTTATAACCGAATGGCCATCAAAACATTCAAATGTACCCTTGATGCCCGTTAAATGTTCCAATGGAGTTGCCTCAATAACGACCTGAGATTATTGCAAATCACATAACAGTTAAATAAGTAGCCGAGTCGGGAATTTTGACAAGAATTCAGAAAAGTGCAAGAATGTCATATTAGGATTTGAAATCTTTGGACCTAAAGAAAATTTGGACACTTAGTTGAAAACCTCTCAATGCAAAGGAGCCGGCAAACTTAAATGTGAAGCAATATGTGCATTCATATCTTTGACTTGAAAGATACTTATTATATAACTATAGATTTTATGTTGTTTATACCAAAAATGTAAAACGTTGCTACACTATCATATTAAGTTGACCAATAACGTGATTTTTCATATCAAGAGCCTGGTAAGGTAACTTGAAGGCCGTAAGATAAATGAATTACCTGCTATAGCTGGTTCAATTGTCTTGATAATTAATTATTATTATTATTACATAATTTAAGCTTATTGCTATGACATGACACAAATTTAACTTGAGAAGAATGTTCCAATCATGAGAAATAAATATGTCAGACCATAATATTTTTGGACTTACCTTATATATTCGACCTCCATTCCTACCAAACTTTGGTGAGTCTATGGTAGTACCTTGTTCAGTAATGGTTCTGAACATGATGGAGTCTATAACATCTCCATGAGCAATCAATATTTCTTTAATGGAACTTTTCAACTTGTAATTCCATTCTGATCCACCAATATTGCCTCCCCATGGCTCCACCAATATTGAATCTGCTTGATCGTAACTCACTTGATTTTCCTTCACATACATAACAAATTAAATCAATGGCTCCATTATCAAATTTTATCCCTATATTGGTAGTATTATTTTGCAGTGAACCAAAAAAAAAACAGAATGAATATAGATACAGTCATGTAAAAGAAGAGATGGCAAGGTACCATTGTTGGCAATTTACTTTCATTTTTTGTTATCTTCCCTTTCTTATGATCACCTGATCCTGATCCCTATATAAGGTGTCAGAAGAGTAACATAAATTAATTGTTTAATGAAAGGGATCTGGGCCTGTGTGCAAGTGTGCGGTGAAGAAAATTAAGGAAGTAGAGGTGACCAAGCAACAAGCGAATAATCACAACATACGTCATGGGTTTCAATTATTTCTTCAACCATAGGTTCATTTGGCTCAATTGTTTTATCTTCAGGTTCATGTGCCGAAGCAGGGGGAGTAAGTTTTTGCAAATAAACACCAATAGCATCAAGGTACGCTCTACAATGCCCGTGAAATCCCTCAATAGCTCCACCTTCTTTTATCACAAGTGAAAATGGGGTTCCAGCCTCAAACCCAAATGGTCCATAATTCTTTGCATTAGTTATAAAACATAGAGATTTTATAACCGAATAGCTACCATAACGTCCAAATGTCCCCTTGATGCCTGTTAAATATATCAATGGAGACGCCTTAATAACAACCTGAGATAATTGCAAATCACATATCGGTGAAATAAGTAGTAGAGTCAGGAATTCTGACAAGAATCCAGAGAAAGGTGCAAGAATGTCACATTAGGATTCGAAATCAATAGGTGCATTCATATCCTTAACTTGAAAGATGCTTACAACAACAACAACCCAACATAATCCTATAAAGTGGGGTCTGGGCAGGTTAATGTGTACGCTGACACTGTTTTCGATAGACCCCGCTAACTTGAAAGATGCTTATATAACTATAAAGTTTATGCTGTGTATACTGAAAATGATGCAAAAAGTTGCCACACTATCATGTTAAGTTGATCTATAACATGTTATTTTTCATATCAAGAGCATCATAAGGTAACTTGAAGGTTGTAAGCTAAATGATTAATCTGATATACTGATTTAATTGTCTTGATAATTAACTGTTATTCTTACATAATTTAAGCTCATTGCTATGACATGACACAAATATAACTAGAAAAGAACGTTCCAATCATGAGAAATAAATATGTCAATCATAATTTTTCTGGACTTACCTTGTCTCTTCGACCTCCATCCCCACCAAACTTTGGTGAGTCTATGGTAGAACCTTGTTCAGTAATGGTTCTGAACATGATGGAGTGTATAAAATCTCCATGAGCAATCAATATCTCTATAGTGGGACTTTTCAGCTTGTAATTCCATTCCGATCCACCAGTATTGCCCCCCATGGTTCCACCAATATTGAGTTCGCTTGATCGTAACTCACTTGATTTTCCTTCACATACATAACAAATTAAATCAATGGATCCATTATCAAATTTTTATCCCTATATTGGTAGCATTATTTTGCAGTGAAAAGGAAATAGAATGAATATAGATGTAGTCATGTAAAGGAAGAGAAGGTAAGGTACAATTGTTGGCGATTTGCTTTGATTTTTTGTTATTTTCCCTTTCTCTTAATATTTCTTATTATCGCCTGATTCTGATCATCCCTTTTTTAAAGTTATTATTCTGTTTAAGGTGTTAGAAGAGTCACTTAAGTCATTAGTTTTATGAAAGGGATCTATGTTTGTGTGCAAGTATGAGGTGAAGAAAATTCAAGAAGTAGAGGTGCTTAAGCAAACGAGGGAATAATCACAACATACGTCATGGATTTCAATTTCTTCAACCACATGTTCATTTGGCTCAATGTTTTTAGCTTCAGGTTCCTTTGATAAAGTGGGAGGAGTAAGTTTCCGCAAATAAACACCAATAGCATCAAGATACGCTCCACAACGCCCGTGAAATCCCACAATAGCTCCACCTTCTTTCATCACAAGTGAAAATGGGGTTCCCGCCTCACACCCAAATGGTCCATAATTCTTTGCATTAGTTATAAAACATAGAGATTTTATAACAGAATAGCTACCACAACGTCCAAATGTCCCCTTGATGCCTGTTAAATATTCCAATGGAGTTGCCTCAATAACAACCTGAGATTATTGCAATCGGTTAAATAAGTAGCAGAGTCTCGTAATTTTGACAAGAATATAGAAAAAGTACAAGAATGTCACATTAGGATCCAAAATCTGTGACCTAAAGCAAATTTGGACACTTTGCCACTTCCTTTGGATTGAGAGGATTCAACTAACTTAGATATATAAGAAAATTATATTTACCCTTTCTACATAATTTTTAGACGAAGGGGATTCAATTAAATCCGTAGCTCTACCGGCCTTGTGTTAAACCCAAGTGAGGATCTATAGTGAAAGAAAATGGTGTGTTCATATCTTTGACTTGAAAGATGCTTATGTAACTAAAGATTTTATGTTGTGTACACTGAAAATGCAAAAAGATGTTAAACTATCATGTTAAGCTGACATATAATTAAATGTCATTTTTCATATCTTGATAATTAAATTTTTATTACAAAATATAAGCTCATTCCTATGACATGACACAAGTTAAGTTGAGAAGAACGTGCCAATCATGAGAAATAAATATGTTGACCACAATTACCTACCTTGTCTCTTCGACCTCCACCCCAACCAAAATTTGGTGAGTCTATGGTAGTACCTTGTTCATTAATGATCCTGAACATGATGGATTTTATACAATCTCCATGAGTAATCCATATTTTTTTAATGGGACTTTTCAGCTTGTAATACCATTCTGATCCACCAGTGCCTCCCCATGGCTCCACTAATATTGAGTCCGCTTGATCGTAACTCACTTGATTTCCCTTCACCTATATAACAAATCAATGGCTCCATTATCAAATTTTATCCTAATATTGGTAGTATTAATTTGCAGTGAAAAAAAAAAACAGAATGAATATAGGCACAATCATGTAAAAGAAGAGAAGGCAAGGTACCATTGTTAGTGATTTGCTTTGATTTTTTTTCAATCCCTTTCTTTTAATATTCCTTATGATCATTCAATTTAAGTTATTCATTCTAACATAAGTCATTAGTTTTACGAAAGGGATCTGTGCTTGTGTGTAAGTATGAGGTGAAGTAAATGAAGTAGAGGTGATTAAGCAACGAGGAAATAATCACAACATATGTGAGAACTAGTTAATTTATCTACCTTCGCGCTGTCACAAAAAAGTACTAGTGAGTTATTAAGTGATCATTTTATAAATTAGTCCATAAATAAAAAGGAGAAATATGACAAACACTTAAACTAATTTTTTATATGTCTAACTTTTAATTTTTTAAGTCTATTTTATTTTCCTCCTTTTTGTTTCCTTTTTAATTCCAAAATATAATGGAAAAAATAAAAAAGACTGTGAGAACCTAATTTTTAACCATACATGAATTTTTCACGGAAAAATACACAAGTACCCCCTCAACCTATGACCGAAGTTCCAACTACACGCCTTTCCTTTTTGAGGATTCTATTACACCCATGAACTATTATAAAGTAAAATTATTGCCTACCCTAAATGCTGACGTGGCAAAGTGTGTGTATTTCCGTCTCTCAAAGAGAATTAGAAGCCCAAAAATTTACTTACCGGTCTTTTTCTTTTTCTTTTCTTTTTACAACACCATTCCTTTGAAAATTCATTTTTTAATTTTAGATTGGTATTTTTTCCTCAAACCTTTATTGGTTCATTCTTACCTTTGCATTAGCAAGAAAATAAATTTAAATTTGATTATATGTACACGTGTCATCTTTTTATTGGATATTATACTTAATTAATTATGACAATAACTTAAAAAATATTTTTCTCTCTTTTCAAAAATATACAATTCTTTTCTTAAAAATTCCACAGCAACGACGACCAAAGAAATTATCATTACGTGAATATTATTTTTTTACCGAAATTGATATCGGAGTATTAAAATTTTGGACTTCATTGTTGTCATGTTGCTACTAGTCATGAAAGAATAGAATAATAGATCAACATAAGGAACATAATGAGAGAGAAAATAAAAGAGTAACAAAATATATATTGGCAGGCGAGTGTGTTTCACCTCCCAAGAAACATCTAGTTATGACATTTCAAGGAGATATTTATTCCATTTTAGAATAGTTTAGGGGGGTAATAGGATTTCCGTTAAGAAAATGTGTGTAGTTGGAACTTCGGTCATAGGTTGAGGGGGTAATTATGCATTTTTCCATTTTTCACCACCTTTAATATTCAAATAGCTTTTAGGTATTTTAGATTATATTTTACTTTTTAGTAGACCTCACTAGATAATTAGAAAACAACAAAAACAGCCGCAATTTTATATTTTAATTGTGTTCCCATTTTCAAGAAAAGGTTCCAAAAAATATATTTTAACAAGTCTACTCTATTTTTTTTTTAAGTTAAGAATTTTCATAAATGAATTTTGAGTACTATTCGATTCCATCCTAAATCTCACCAAATTTGGACTCCAAAGTGTGTATCTCTTTAGCATTTTTTTCTTTCCATACTAATCAAGTAGGAGTAATACTTTTATTTTTACTAAAAAAAAAGAAGAAAAAAAAAAGAAGAAGCAAAGAACGTGAAAGGCAAAAGGAAAAAAAAAAATCAAAGAAGAAAGAAAAGAAGGCCCCCTATATTTTGTGCTTCGTTAATTCTCTTATTCTTTTTAGTGGTCCCACCTCCTAAATTGATTTTCCTCCGTATCACGTGTCCATAATTCCTTTTTATCACAATTTTTAATTTTGGCATTTTCCTTTTGATTGTTAATATTCTTTTCTTGTTCTCCAAGCCCATTATCTGGTGAGAGCTTCATATAACAAAGAGAGACACACACGATATAGGCATGAGAGAGCAGAGAGAGTAAACGGAAAGAAGGGGCGAGAGAACGAGAGAGAAACTGGGGAGAAGGGAACAAAAATCGAGCGACTTTCTCCTTCGTTTTCTTCCTCGCTGACAACAACCTTCCCTGGTCTTCTTCGTCTTCCTTCCTCAAAAACGCAGCAGCTGAAAAGCACCTAAAACAACCACTTAAACTCCTTATAATAAACCCACTTATCACAAAACACCCCTGTTTCATCCGAGAAAATATGCACAAAACCTTCTGTTTGCTACACTAAACTGCAAAGCTTTTTCACGATAATACTCTGTCGGAATTTAGAGTCTAGTTTAAGGTATTTTCCGGTCAAAGGTAAGGTCGCCGTTCGAGTTTTACGGCGAGGTTTCGAGGTTCCGTCATCGACGAGGTTTCCGTTCCGGGTTCTGTTGATGGAGTCTTATTTCTGCTAATAGATCGATACTCCTCTGTACAAATTTGCCTTAGCAATATCGAAGGAAGTTTACTGCTTTGAGGTTCATTCTTATCTTCTTCTTTTTCTCCTTTTCTTTTCTTCAAGTTTTATTAGTAGCTTATATGCCTATAAGATATTGTTTAGTTGCTGTTGAGCTGACAATTTTTTATAGCTTCTGTTTGTTAAAGCTTTCAAATATAGGCCTCATTGGTTTATGTAAAACTCATAAATTTTGTTCAAATTGTTGAATATGGTCTCTTGATTCTATGTTACGTGAGATTTGTTATGCCTTTTTGTTTGTTACAATTGCTTGGGTGTGAGTTACCGTTGTGGCATGTTTTAGTATTGTCAATATTTAGCGAAGATTAATTAATATTATTGTTTTGAGCAATCAACTCGTTAAGTTGTAAATAATACATAGTAGTTCGCTAATAATTTAAAGAGCTCATTACAACTCTATATCTATAACTCATGACCTTACAATAATCTCAAATTCAAGAAAAAAATAATTTATGAATATTCGTATTTTGCTTTAGGCGTGATTAATAATAAATCATCGTGGCCATGTGTACGGTTCCGTGGCATGGTCACAATACGTAAATCACAATTCAAGTGTTGTAATGACCCGACCAATCGTTTTAAGAGTTGTAGCCTCGTTTCCCCCATTTACTGCTCCTTTTGTACTTTATAGTTGTTATGTGACTTACCGGGGTAGTCGGTTCGGGTCCGGTGAGGTTTTGAAATGAATTGAGACACTTAGTCTCCAAGATGAAAACTTAAGTTGAAAAGGTTGACCAGATGTTGAGTTATGTGTAAACGACCCTGGAATAGAATTTTGATGATTCCAATAACTCTGTATGGTGATTTTGGACGTAGGAGCGTGTCCGAAAAATTATTTGGAGGTCCGTAGTTAAATTAGGCTTGAAATGGCTAAAATAGAAATTTAAGTTTAGAAGTTTGACCGGGGAGTTGACTTTTTGATATCGGGGTCGGAATTCGATTCTGAAAATTTGTATAGGTCTGTTATGTCATTTATGACTTGTGTGCAAAATTTGAGGTCAATCGCACTTGATTTGATTGGTTTTGGCATCGAATGTAGAAGTTGAAATTTCTTAGTTTCATTAGGCTTGAATTGGGGTATGATTCGCGTTTTTATCATTATTTGATGCGATTTGGGCTTCGACTAAGTTCTTATGATTTTTTAGGACTTGTTGGTGTATTTGGTTGAGGTCCCAGAGGCCTCGAATGAGTTTTGGATGCTTAACGAACAAATTTTGGACTTGGTATTTTTGCTGAAGTTTTCTGGTGCACTGTCTGGTTTCCTTCTACACGATCGCATGAAAAGGTCCGCGATCGCGTTGTCTTAATTGGACAGCGGAGATTTTTGTGCTATGCGATCGCGAAGCAAATGGTCAGCAGTGCTACGTGAATGCGTGGATTAAGTCGCGTTCGCATAGAGTAAAGAAGGGAGCTGAATGTTTCACGCGTTATGCTACGTTCGCGTTCGCGTTCGCGTTCGCATGGTTGTCCGCAATCACGTAGGGTTGAGAAAGTTGTGATTCGCGTTCGCGTGATGGAGTTCGCGATCACGTAGGGTAATTTTTGGGCAGTGGAAAGTTGTACTTCGCGATCGCGAGACTTGGTCTGCGATCGCATAGAAGAAATGATTGGGCAGAGAGTTTAAGCATTTTTGACAAATTGGAGCTCGGGAAGAGGCGATTTTTGGGAGATTTTCAAAAAAAATAATGAGGTAAGTGTTCTTAACTCCATATTGTTCAAATTACCCGAATCCATGGTTATTTTTAACATTTAATTGGTTAATTAAGTTGGAAGATTTAGAAAACCCTTTTGGTTTAATTTGAAGATTTGAGGGTCGAGTTGATGTTGGATTTTAGTAAAAATTGTATGGTTGGGAATGAGCGTTCGTATTTTGTAACTTTTGTTGGGTTCCGAGACGTGGGATCCACAGATAATTTTTGGGTTAAATTTCGGATTTTGTTAGAAAATTTATATTTTCACATGGAATTTATTCCTATAATTTGTATTGATTGAATCGAATTAATTATGACTAGATTCGAGCCGATCGGAGTCGGAAAATCGAGGGAAAGACATTCTTATTAATTGATTGAGCGTGGTTTGAGATAAGTGACTTGTCTAACCTTGTGTGGGGGAAATTTCCCTTATGATTGGTATTGATATGAAAATATTTGATGTGTTGAAAGTCATGTACACGAGCTGACGAGTGTGTACACAAGCTAAATGTGGAAGATTATGTCTTTAAACTGTTGCATATTAATTAAATTATTTTATTCTATTATATTCATCATCATTAATATATTTTAATTTTAAATTTGCCTGACCTATTCCTGCTAAATGTTTTACATGTTTAGTTGAAACTCTGTTTCTTTTCTTCTGTGCAATAGTTGAAGGTTGGATTTCTTAATTTAAATATTATTAAAATTTTGTGAGATTTTGTTTTGTGAAATATTATTTTTGCTGAGTTATTCATTCATGAATATTTTGTGAGATTTTGTACTCATTGTG